CACCTATAAAATTAATGCAAGGATTGTTGTAAATATTTGTAAGAAACTTGAGAGTTTGTGTGATATCATGGGATCAATATATTAGGTTATTTGGTTGGTTGTAATTTTCAGTTAAACAATTTATATTACCAATATGTGACTTCATATACACAATTTGATTATACATATGTACATATATTATCTACTTTAATAATCATGTGTTATAATATTATATTACCGTTGACTTTAATGTCAATGCTTGATGTTAGTTGCTTTTCTTCCCGACAACTTAGGATTAGTTAGAATCAGCATCTAATTCAATTTTTTATTGTTCAGTATTAAAATAAATTTAAATTGGCGAAGTATCTTACTATATTCTTCTTTTACCTTTTTTTTACTTGATATTCTTCTTCCCATGACCTCGCTAATTTTTTCAACAGAAAATTATATTCCATTTTCGTGGTTCCATATCCCTCCAATTATTATCGGATAACTTTGTTTGGATTTCTCCTGTTTTTGTATATAATTGTAGATTCGATTTTCTTCGTTTGACAGAAAATTGTAACTTCGATGTATCCTATGGTTTATATTCACATGTAGAATGAAATTATAAGCAGTTTTACAGAAGCACATCTATCAGAAAATTTAGGTTATAACGAAATTTGTTAATTAATATAGTAGAGCTTTATGATCACTTTGTGCTATGATTTATTTTGTTAACCGAATTTTAGAGTTCAGACTATCAAAATATATATATATTTATTTATACGTCATTTATGCTGGGGAGGCTAAGTGGGTGACTTAAAAAAAACCAATTATAAAAACTCTCTAATAATAAAAAAATGTTTTAGAAACAACAGTATGATTTACACCGTTAACTCTAAATATAAATTGTTGAAAATATTCCCTTATACCGAAGTAAAAAAGCTCGGCTAGTTTAAGCCCAAAGGAAAATAAATTACCTGATGCCCATTCATCTGTAGCCCAATAAGAGCCTTTGAAACCCATAAAAGATAGAGATTTATAAACGATTCAACCCATCTCTCTAAAATCTCGAACTCTTTATTTGCAAAAAATTTGTGTACTCCAATATTAGGATCATATTTATCATCAAGTAGACGATAAAATTCATAACAACCTCTTAAAAATGTAAATCCACTATCCACAAAATGTATAATATAAATCATTTAGCTCCTTTTTATTAACCGCTGGACCAATTTTTTGTACAAACATATACTAGTATAAATCTAAAATTTAAAACCAACCATAAAGCATTAAAAAAAAAATTGTTTTGATTTTCCAGCTCTAAATTAAATGGTAATAAATATAAAGTTCTTATCTTTTGTATACTATATTCAATATACTTTTTGATGTGATATATTAAAACATTTTTAGCATTAGACGAAAAAAATATTAAAATAAAAAAACCGGAAACTTAGTTATCTATGGTGTAAGTTACAAATTCAAATATAGAACTCATTGGATTTAAATATTTCGACTACATTTGATATTAAAAACCTCGAGGGTGCGACCACATGTTTTTCACGTTTTCAAATTGCAACCAATCGTAGAGAATTATATGAAGATTAAAGCAAGTACACTTCCTTTGTCTTTTCAACACAAAGAATATATAAAAGCGGAATTATAAACCAAATAACTTCAATCTTCTTTAAGTTTATAAATTGAATAGACATGCATTTGTATGTATAGAACCAAAAAACGAATAGACATGTATTTGTATGTATAGAGGAAATATGATGTTTCTACATCAAAAGGGATTCAATGATGTGATTGGTGAAATATCTAAGGTATATACCGACCGCACACAAAGTTTTACCCTAATATCCATAGATGATAAAGAAAGAGCAATAGTTATTAGTCATGCGGATCAAACAAAAGAGATTGTAGCCGCCTTTGTTGTGTGAATTGTTATGGATGTCACCGTGCACTAACACCAATTGTATAATAGTCATGCACTTGTATTTATAGGTTCTGGTCTCTCTCAATGGAGTTCTTAAACT